TGTTGATTCATGTCCTGGCTGCTCCTCTTCCTATCTAGCTCTTTGCTGGTGGCCTAAGAAAGCAATGGAAGATAGCACAAATGCTTGAACCCCTGCACCCACATGTGAGACCTGGAGGAAGCTCTTGGCTCCTGGCTTTGGATCTCCCCAGCTTTGGCCGTGCGGCCAGTTGGGGAATGACTCAGAGGATGGAAGACCTCTCTCCCTGTCTGTCTGTAACTCTACCTCTCAAATAAAATATATATTTTTAAAAGACTATAATTAACCAAAGTTATTTTTTGATGTTGCAGTTCCCAATTTACCAACACAAAATCATCTAAATACACACACAAACACATGCACACAAAGGTAGTACTATGTGTAGTAAATGAGGGAGTGCTGTAACAGATGACATAATTTATTGTGTTGCCTAATGTGTTAATAGAACTTTTTTTTTTTTTTTTTTTTTACAGGCAGAGTGGATAGTGAGAGAGAGAGACAGAGAGAAAGGTCTTCCTTTGCCGTTGGTTCACCCTCCAATGGCCACCACAGCTGGCACGCTGCGGCCGGCGCACCGCGCTGATCCGAAGGCAGGAGCCAGGTGCTTCTCCTGGTCTCCCATGGGGTGCAGGGCCCAAGTACTTGGGCCATCCTCCACTGTACTCCTGGGCCACAGCAGAGAGCTGGCCTGAAAGAGGGGCAACCAGGAAAGACTCCGGCGCCCTGACCGGGACTAGAACCCGGTGTGCTGGCGCTGCTAGGTGGAGGATTAGCCTAGTGAGCCATGGCGCTGGCCCAAATAGAACTTTAACATTGGCAATATGTTCTTCAGACACTAAAATTTGATTTTGTTACTTTTTTTTTTTTTTTTAAAATACTTACTTGAAACTAGGTAACAGATATCTTTCATCTACTGGTTTACTCCTCAAATGACCACAACAGCAACATGTGGACCAGGCAAAAGTCAGGATCAGGAACTCCAACCTGGTCTCTCACATGGATCCTAGGGGCTCAAGTACGTGGACCGTCATCTGCTGTCTTCCAAGGCACATTAGTAGGGAGCTGGATCAGAAGCAGATTAGCCAGGACTTGAACTGGGGCTCTGATACAGGATGCTGGTGTTGCAAACGGTGGGTTAGTCCACTGTGCAACAGCACTGACCTGTGAATGAGATATATATCCAGCTAAATAGAAACTAATAAGAATTTCTTGTATAAAAAGTGTAGATATTTGTTTCTTATGTCCACTGAAATAGACATTCATATTGCCCATGAAATATTATATAATTGTCTTACTGATGAAACATTCAATAAGGAATAAAAGTAACAATGTTTAATTAAAAAAATAAGCATTGACATATTACAATAAAATATTACATAAAGGCTGTTAGAAAAATCACTGCCTAAGTTTGAATGGAAGAATAATCCCTTGATTATTCTTACTACTTGTTTAGGCCATCTCTGGCTTTCTGTATTTATTCAGTTCTGTTAATAAGTGTTAATTTAATATCAAACAAGTTCTTTTCAAATGGTTTATTAAGTATTGTTGGTATCCCTTCACCAGGCCAGGTACACCTGAGCACCAGGTGAGAAGGTTTGGTCCCTGCCTTTCAAATAAATCTTTAAAAAAAAAAAAAAAAGTTTTTGTCCCTGGTATCTTATTCTCAAGAGTAAACCAGAGCAAATCTTCTCCAAAATGTATCTGTAGCTGCCCCTGTGTCAGCATCCAAGGAACCTGGCCTAAAATGCTGGAGTGACAAAATGATAATTTTAACAAATGTAAGCTAAGAAGCTTGATAACTTGGTTACAATATGTCCTCCTTAATCTTCCTCAACTCCAGTTTCTTAGATAGCCTTGAGAAGATGCTTACTCTCTCTGGAGTTGTAACATAAAATCAGGATGTGCAATCTCTAGGACATAACAATACATATCCCAAGGTCTTTGTGACACATAGATGTTAAGTGCCACCTTCTCATGTTTTTTTTTCCTTTAACCTTGTTTCCCTACAGTTAAAACAAAATCAGTCTGTTCCAAAAATCTTGCATCCTTCATACTTTCCTTTTTTTTCTTTCCATTGTTCCCTTATTTCTTTTCCCCCTTTGTACATGCTAGAACTTTATTTACTCTGTCCAATGCCATTTCCTCAGGGACACATGGCAGTTGACGCCCTATGGATGACTTCATGTGCCTAGCAGGCGCCCTATAAAAGGTTGTGATATTGTGGACTCGATTCCAACCTTGGTTTATGGTAACATTTCTTTATTTCCTTTTGGTTTTCACACAAGGACTGTCATCACACTTTATTGAGGAAGGTGAGTGGTATGTTTAGATGATAGAGGTGACATTAACCAGAGAAAAGCAGTTGGGAGGATTCCAGGTCTTTCCCTTAATTCTAAATATACTATTGTACCAGTTAGGATTCTCCTGGAAGGCAAAACCAACAGCATGTAACAGACAAATGGATGATGGGATTTTTTAGGGAATTGGATCACTAGATTATATAGACTAAGTTCCATAATTGGTTGTCTGTAAGCTGGAGAACAGGCAAGCCAGTAGGGTGGTCCATTTCTAGTCTGCAGACCTGAGAACAGGGGGAGCCAATGGTGCAAGTCAACTCCAACGCCAAAGGTGTCAGATCCTGTGGTAGGGTGGATTGTGCTAATACAAGTGCTTGAGTCTGAAAGCAGGAGAACCTGAAATTCTGATGTCCAAGGGCAGGAGAAGGATGTCTGACCTCAGAATATATTCCCTCTCTGCAGGAATTGCATACAGGTCTCCCACTTGAGTGGCAGGAGCACAAGTACTTGAGTCATCATTGCTGTTTCTGGGGCACATTAGCTGGAAGCTGGATTGGAAGTCTGGAGCAGCTGGGACTTTAACCAGGCACTCCAATATGAGATTCATATGTTCAAGCTGAGTCTTAACTCACTGCACCACAACACCTACCCCTAATCAACCTTTCTTTATCCATCTCACTCTTCTGGCTTCTGGTAGCTGTTGGTTCTGCTGCTTAAGCTTTCTCATATAGATGAAAACATGGGATGTTTGTTTTTCTGTGCCTGGCTTATTTCCAGTAAAAATCTTTGTAGAAAATACCTGTATAAATTACTTACATTCATAATTTTAAAAATCAGCACAATGCCTATTTTACTATATAATAAATTTATGTGTGTTTCAGTAGCAACAATTGACTGTGACTACTCAGCAAGGTATAATAAGTCACATTAAATCTCTGCTTCAAACCACTGTGAATACAAGAGGTGTGGTATAAATTGATACCGGTGTATTATTTTGGGAATTTAAAAACCAGACCTAGTATTGCCATGGGACACATAAATCTCAGAAATGGAGCACAAATATTGGTAAAGCTTAGAAAAAGCTCGGTGTCACTGTAATCTAGAGAATAGTTGAAGTCTTGGGAAATTCAGTGTATATTAAGCCATGTCATGCAAAGTATTTAATATGTAGCAACTTACATATGGGGGTCCTCAACATTTTTGGAAAAATGACACTAAAAGGTAAGCTTATAAAATGAAATTATGTATGTAAAAATAATCTTTGTATGTAGTTCTTTTGTAATACACAATTTACATGAGCTTTTCGAAGATACTCCCCCATTTTAATTCCATGTTACTAAAGGTTTATATCCATAGTTTCCTTATGGGTAAAATTATAGGGTATGGTTTTAAATAATGATTCTTTCATAAAAACACATGGATCTCTTGTATGGCACAGGACTTTTTTATCGTGCAATACTAAATGTAGATTTCCCAGCATGCTTTACTCCTGTATCTTGCTGGTAGCATCACCTCAGTCATGGTGACAAATGGCCTCCGTAAATTTCCAGAAAGACTTCCTAGTTGGTGTCAAGGCTTATTGACTACCACTCTTTTTGAGGAAAAAGATGAAACAAAAGCAATGGTTCACATACTAGCAACAGTGACATTAGTAATTACTTTAATTGGTATATCAAGTGGAACAGCTTCTAAGATGAAAGGAATTTAGACTTCTAAGTGCTTGAAGGGTTTGGTAGCCCAAACCTTGAGTCAGCTAAGAACATAAATTGTGGTATCTGATAGATGTAACACCCTGTAACACTTGGAAGAAACTTATCTTGCTGGGCTGCATTGGTGATCCAAAGTCCTGATTTTAGTAGGTCTCTTCTGAGTAGATATGGTATTTGTACCCAAATTGGGTGTCATAGTCTCTATCACAAATGACCCAGTGCTAGGATCAGGAGGAAATGCATTTGAGCTGCCCCTATTTGCCATTTCTGTCTTGGCTTTGACTCCCTCTTCCTTTGTTAGAAAAGCCTCTGAAGCACTATAGTTGATAGCAGTTCCTATATAGATGTTGCATATACCTGGCTTGTCCTCTTAGTCAAAATTAGGCCTTTATCAAGATCTGGGATGTCTAAACTTTGATTTTGGTTGACCCTGTGGAGAAGTGTTAGGTTTTAGGTAGTACCTGGTTGTTCTGAGTGTAACTTCTATGTGATTTAAGATATTCAGTTCTTTAACTAGTCAATATTTTTGTTAGGGTTGAGGGAGGAGACAAGACTACAGAGTGCTTTGCCTTTTGATAGTATCGGTGTAGGCAGTTGGTTTATTTTTTATGGTACCTGGGACAGCTTTTTTAAAGTGGTACAACAGTAGGTTCAGGTGCAGCAGTTGTTAAAATAAAATAAATACATTGTGAATCATAATGACCTTTCGAAAGGCAGAAATCTGAAGCTGTCTAATTATCCATAGTGATGTGAACAAAATTTTACTAGCCTGTTGAATTCTAAGTTTTTCTAGTGAGTGTTTTTTACCTGTTATAATGATCTAGAATGCTTTCTTCTGTCTCCACAGCACTTTTCTCTCTCCTTTCTCCAGGCAGAATGGCACGTAAATCTTTCCAAAACAATTAATGCTGCTTTAGTCACAAATTATTGATTTCTCCCCCCTCCATTCATAGTGTATGTAGAATTGCTGCTCTACTTAGATTCTAAAACAAGGCATTTTAATTGTGTTTTCCAGGAAGATATGAATTTAAATGAAGATAAAAAGGCACCATTGCGGGAAAAGGACTACAGTATCAAAAAGGAAATGGTGATGCAGTACATTAATACTGCTTCCAAGACAGTAAGTAAAACTGTCAAGTTGAAAAATACTACCAAAACATGTTGCGGTATGGAAAACAATGCATTTGTCTAGGGAACTGATTAAGTTTGTAGGCAACCGTAATAAGAGGCCTTTGAATATATAATTAAAGGCACAAGTGCAATAATCAATTTGTTTAAAAATATTTTCCATCTTACAACTTTTGAAGTGCTTTTGTTTTTTATCCAGTCACATGGCTTAGAAACACCATGGTTGCTCTACTCCAAGACACCTTTTTTGTTGTGAATTAAGATGGTTATTGATTTCTGATGTCACTTATAAAAACAGATGATATTTGTATTGTCGAAAAGTGAGGCTGATTTTACCCTAGCCATCTAAATCAGGATACATAATAGTGGCTTAGAGGCAGATTTTAATGAGTTTCCCTATGGATAAAATTATCTTGTAGCAAATTATTAATATAGATCTTGAAAGGAGCATTAAGGATCCACATGGCTGCCAATTTTCCAGGAAAATGTGAAATATGTGGGTAGAAGTGATGACTAAACGTCTAGGAAACCATGACTGGCAAACAGAATCAATTGTGTTTATTTCATGAAACAGCAAATGAGTTTGACTAGTCCTATACAAATTGAGGATAAATGGACTGATTAAAAATATAAAATGGAAGCCAATGGAGAAGCAATCTACAGAAGGACAGTAGAAAAATTATTTTGGCTGAATTTGGAATAGAATTAGGACAATAGTTTAGCATACTAATTTTTGTTGGGTACTTTAACTGTGACCAGGTAACAAAAAGATAAGTTATTTATAGTTTAACTTTGTTTCTCTACTGGGCCATGTCTCATGTTTTGGCAGCCTAATCTTCAGTTTAGAAACTATGAATTCTGTGCTTCTCCCAGCTCTTGGATGGGTGGGCTGTGTGTCTTGCATTGTGATGCTGATACCAATTGCTTTTGTCCCTTAATTATATTTCACAAATCAGCATTAGGACTTTAGCATTCAGAGCTCTGGGGTTTTGAATCTGCTTATTTATCCTCTGTTTGGCCATGAGCATCTTATTTTACCCCTTTTATTCTTGCTTTTCCTCATCCATAAAATGGGAACTCCTACATCTTAGGCTTGTCAGAAGTAAGATGTTTCTCCATCATTAGAACATAAGATTTTTGTAATTGATGGCTGCCTGGGTGGTAGTTGTGGTTGTTTCTTTTGTGATTTGTTCTTGCTAATGAAATGATTAGACTATAATTAAAAATGTAAGGGAAAGCACATCAGTAAAGTTGTAAGTCAACCATTAGTCCACATTTGAACATTTTTATTAAGTGTGTGTGAACTGAAATAGATCTAATACAAAGTTTTTTTTTTTCTTCCAGAACATGTTTATAAAGTGCATGTTGGACAATATTTTTTTACGATTTTTTTTTTTTTTTTTTTTTGACAGGCAGAGTGGACAGTGAGAGAGAGAGAGACAGAGAGAGAAAGGTCTTCCTTTGCCGTTGGTTCACCCTCCAATGGCCGCCGCTGCAGCCGGCGCACCGCGCTGATCCTGGCAGGAGCCAGGAGCCAGGTGCTTTTCCTGGTCTCCCATGGGGTGCAGGGCCCAAGCACCTGGGCCATCCTCCACTGCACTCCCTGGCCATAGCAGAGAGCTGGCCTGGAAGAGGGGCAACCGGGACAGAATCCGGCGCCCCAACCGGGACTAGAACCCGGTGTGCCGGCGCCGCAAGGTGGAGGATTAGCCTATTGAGCCACGGCGCCGGCGTTGGACAATATTTTAAGCACTGGAAATGTAGCACTGAGATAGTCTACCACTGTGTCCTATAGAGCAACATGGACACAGAAATGTATGTAATATGTGAAATGTTATTAAAACAATGCCAGGTGAGCAGAGATGGTGTAACTTATATATGATCAGAGAAACCAACCCTATTAGAGATTTTTAAATCTAATAAGCTGGAATTCATTTAATTTATTTACAAGGGACACATCAATTGGAATGGGTTAAAAAACTTGCATAATAATGCATTTTAATTCTTAAATTTGAGATAAATAGACTTAACAGAACAAACCTTTCTTGAACTTTGTAATAGATCTATTTCAGTTCACATTCAGTGATTTTAAACCTTAATCCTCTAATTATTTTGGACTAAGGTTGGAATTTATTTACCAGAATTAGGTAATTAAATGATCGGGATTGAAATAGATTAGTTATCCAAAGTGTGATTACGGCATTGACTGATTTAATTAGTGTGTGGAGGATCATGGCTTTTCCTAGGAGGCCTCTGGATAATTTGGCACGTGGATAACATTATAGCAAGTTCATGCTGACCAATCATTTATCCCTGCTCTGGAAGTAGAAATGCATTTTATTAACTGTAGGGTGTAGACTTTGTCATACAACTTTATTTACATTAATGACTAATGAAAAAGTTATTCTGAGGAAAACAATAAAAATTCATGGATAGCTTGTTCTATGGGAGGATGGGGAGTTTGTGTCATATATGCTGTTGGGATTTCAGCCTTAGAATTTACTTTGAGATTCTTTTTGTGGTAAGCAATAATTTTGTTTTTTTGGGAAGTAGTACTGATGCTATAACTGATGACTTAAACATGCTTTAGGAATATTAACCCTCAAAGTTAGTCTTGAAATATGTCTGGGTCTTCAAAAAATTAGTGGACAATATGCACTATTTTTTTTTTTTTTTTTTTGACAGGCAGAGTGGACAGTGAGTGAGAGAAACAGAGAGAAAGGTCTTCTTTTGCCGTTGGTTCACCCTCCAATGGCCGCCGTGGCCGGCACGCTGCGGCCGGCACATCGCGCTGATCCGAAGCCAGCAGCCAGGTGCTTCTCCTGGTCTCCCATGGGGTACAGGGCCCAAGTACTTGGGCCATCCTCCACTGCACTCCCGGGCCACAGCAGAGAGCTGGCCTGGAAGAGGGGCAACCGGGACAGAATCCGGCGCCCCGACCGGGACTAGAACCCGGTGTGCCGGTGCCGCAGGCAGAGGATTAGCCTATTGAGCCGCGGCGCCGGCTGCATTCTCTTTTAATTCCATTTTTTACATGAGCACCTTGAAATATCCTTGTGATAAGGTTAATTTTTCAGAGTAGAAACAAAACTACTGGATGACAAGCTATGTTACTCCTAGAACTTGGATAAGTTTGAGTTTCCCAGGTATCTGAGTAATAAAACAAAATTTCTGCAGCTAGGAAGGACTATTAAAATTTGATTAAGCAGGGGTCACATTTAGAAGCTTAATCCACCAGAATCACATTTTCCTAATGTTGCCGGGCACTGTGTGTGATCCACGTTGGTCCAGTACCATCTGGTGGGCTGCCATTCTGACAGGCATCTGAGAAAGATCCCCCTCCCTCCCTGAGAGGAGGAGAAACTGCTTTTTCCTGCCAATGGACCTGGTTCTGAGAGCTCTTCTATTACATGGGAGATACATGTTCCCAGAGGCTTAAGTTGAAGTTTTTCTTTACTTCTGCAAGTGACCCAATATATACCATCCATGTACATTTTTGCTTATGTGGAATCTCTCTTTAATTTCCTCTGAAAATGACAGTTCTATTCAAAGGGGCGTCTTCAAAGACCTTCTCTCAGGGCCAGCATTGTGGCTTAGTGGGTGAAGCAAAAACAGCAATTCTGTCAGTGTTCTATATTTTTACTTTAAACCTATTTTCTGTCAATAATAATTACCTATCTAACAGCATTTTTTCCAGAATATTTTTTATTTTCGTGAATCTTTGAAAAAAATTTTTAGAGAAAAACATCAAGCTAGGACCGACAGGAAAAATACCAAGTAGTTTCCAATATTCTTGGAGTTGTGTTCAAGACTTTAAGCCTTGGGGCCATCTGTCCTGGTGTAGCCGGTTAAGTCCTGGCTGCTCCACTTGCCATCCAGCTCCTTACTAATCTGCCTGGGAAGGCAACAGAAGATGATCTAAGTGTTTGGACCCTGTCTCTCTCAATCAGTGGATAGATGGGAGAATTGCATCAAAGCCCTGTGCCCATCCCTTCAGATACTTAGCAAGATTATTGGAGAAAATTCCTTTCAAAGAGAATATAGGCTTTCCTTTTGTTCAGCTGTATAGCTGTAGGATGAGTCAGTTGTGCAGTTTACAGTACATGCCTTTAAGGTAGAATGTGATGTGATAGGTAAACTTGAAGAGGATCCATAGTTCCCTGACAACCTGAGAAAATTCTGCAAGGGATGGGGAGGAGGGGGTCTCTTAAGCTGCAACTTCCTAAGGATTTTCACTATTATCCAAATAGAAGGTAAATAGAAACAAATACACAAAGGGTTTTTTTCTTTTTCTTTTTCTTTTCTTTTCTTTTTTTTTTTTTAAGATTTATTTATTTGAAACAGTTACAGAGAGAGGTACAGCGGGGAGAGAGAGAGAGAGAGAGAGAGAGAGGTCTTCCATCCGCTGGTACTCTCTTTAGATGATCATAATGGCCAGAGCTGAGCTGATCAGGTGCCAGGAGCTTTCTCCAGGTCTCCCATGTGGGTGCAGGGGCCCAAGGACTTGGGCCATCCTCCACTGCCTTCCCAGGCCACAGCAGAGAGCTAGATCAGAAGTGGAACAGGTGGGACTCCAACTGGTGCCCATATGGGATCCTGGCGCTGCAGGCTGGGGCTTTAATCCGCTGTGCCATAGCGCCAGCCCCCACAAAGGGTCTTCAAAAAGTTCATGGAAGATAGGTGTTATGAAGATGGTAGACATGGACTTCAAAAATTTTGTGCCAATATAAACATATTTTCATTCTGTTTTCCACAGCCTTTTGACACTGACTATAACTACATGTTCTCATTACTTGTTGGAGTTTAATTATCTTTACTGCTTATCTTAAAGTGCTTAAAACACTCCTTCAGATATTGTTGGGAGATGATTTTTGTAGTATAGACTTTAGTGCTTTTAAAGGACAAATCAGGTTTAGATCCATCAATGGTTGCTGCCTTCACTTAGTTTTCTTTTCAGGTTAGGGTGTGTGTGTGTGTGTGACAGTGGTCATA